ACATCTAGCAGTGGGATCACATGCATCTAAAGCAGTTCTACTCCAGAAAAGAGTTTGACCAGACTGCTGCTGCTCAGATGGAGCCCATGAATTACTCTAAACTGTCCTAAGTTAAACTGCCAAGTCAGAGAGGGAGTCAGGGAGCAGAGCGTCCTCCACAGCAGGAGTCCTGACAAAGGGCTGCTCGGCTCAGTGACAGCGGGACACAGACCAGACAGATCCGTGATGCCAGGTTGCATGAGTGCTGTCCATGGAGGGATGCTTCCATATTTGCTTTGCTCATGTTAAAAGACTGGATACACACACATTACTTGGTTCCCTTAAGCCACCAGAGCCAGTGTTCGTTCACTTTCACTCATTAATGATTTTCTCTTTAATCAACGTTGTTGTATGAATGTGTCATAAGATGTGATCTGTTTATATACGTACAGTTTACCATTCAAACTAGGTGGCATCTCCTCTTTTTATTTGATAATCCATATAAATCAAAACTATCATCCTTCATTCTTCTTTTGGTTTTGGTTTTGTCAGTATGTGGAAAAAACAGACACTCATTACTTAACAGAACCTGAGGAAATGATGACACAGACCCTGGACATCAGCCTTGAGCATTGCCTGGTGATTTCCCAGAAATGAGTAACAGGAATTGTTTTGCTTTACTTTTGAGAATAACAACCCAACACTGCTTGTTCAGCACAGAACATCTCTTTGGTCTAAGCTGTATGTTCTCTAGTTAAAGCAAATCTGTAGTGCTGGAGTACGTCTGCTCTGATGAGGAAATACAGACAATTTGTGGACACAATTTAATGTTTCATGCCCTTGATTTAACATGACAGCATGAGTTACTTGGATTTAATACAGTTTTATTTTGATCTTGTGCATAAAACTCACACTCCACTTTATGTTATTGTTGTGGTCCCTTAACTATATTTTCCAGGAAACTGTTTTGCTGTTAATCTTGCACACGTATGATTCATTAGAGCGTGCAAATGATCACACGTCTACAAAGTAGTGTGTGGATTGTGTTGAGCACCTCTTGTCGGCCACAACAGGAGCTGGTTCTTCCTTTTAGCCAAACCTGCTCTGTCATCACATCTGTCCTAATGGATCACTGCCCTAAACTGACACTTGATGTTATCTGTTAGCAAATGAATAGTTGTGTCTTCTTTTGCCAGAGACAACACATTAAACCAGCCCATCTTGTATGGAAAGTTCCAGAAAGTTCTCATGGAGCAGCAGGAGGGGATTTTTCTTTCAGTTCAGCTTTTCTCCAGAGGGTTCACGGACCTGGAGGTCACAGCGCATGGGGTAGGATCAGCTCTGTGTGTGTGTCTCTATGCTCACATGTGTGAAATAGTTGTTGGATGATGTCATGTGACAAATTGGAAGCAGTGTGTGTGTGTTTCAAGGATGATAAATGGAGCTCAAAGCATCAGGGACTCGAGCTTCTTTGTTGACAGGATGAGTCTGTTGCTCTAAATCACTGAGGATGTTAAATGTGCACGCACACCTAAGATTAGTGCACGCAGCACACCTCTTCAAGAAGTGATGACTCATCCAACAGCTGTCTCATTGAGTGCAGAAAGGACACACACTCCTCCCACAGACTCATATCTGCAAGTACATGCACTGCACACAGCAAGATATACACACACCCAGTCAGTGTATAGAGAAACATACAAAAATCACCTATGATCACTGCAAACATACACACACCGTTAATAACAATTCAGATTGCACTGTGGGACTTTATCTAAACCCATACTAATCAAAACACAGCTGGTTTTTATCCAGGTTATCCCATTAGCACCGTGGACCTTCACAGCCTTTACTCTCAGGTTAAAGGGTGAGTTCACCCAAACCACGAAAAACAGCCTGTTTCTTTACTACGTTACCGCTCTGGTGGTTGAAAAGCGACTCCAGCTCAGCCTCCATTCTACTGGTGGAGGAGACAGATGTTAATCTCTAATGTATGTATAGGAAGTATTCCAAAAGTGATCCGTATGAACCATTTTGATTTGTTTAGAGAAATGTGTAAGTAAGGTCCAGGTCTCCCCAGCAGGTGGTTTTCTGATATCCAACAGATTACTGACTGACTCCCATATTTAGCTCTGAGTGTAGATATTTCTGACTAAATCCAAGTGAGTGTTGTGAGATTGGTAGATACCTTACGAACTTGAGAAGCCATATTTAAAGTCCTGTCTCCTGTTTACCATGAAGACAACAGCGCCTGTTAAACCTGTAGCTTTCTGCTACAGGCTGCCTCTGGTGAAAGCATTTGTCTTAGTTTTTACTGAACAGGACGAAGGGGCAGGTTTCCCATCTGCCTGCTGCACTGTCACCACCAGTTGGATTTATCTCTGTTTACACTCGCCTTCTGCCCGTTTTGTGCCATAAATCTGCTGTGATGAAAAGCCAGAAGTCTCTTCAGATGAAACATGATCACATTAAGGCCGTGTTCAGACTTCCTTCAGTGTAGTTCGGTTCATGTGACCTAATGTGACCATTTGTAAAGCAAAGTAATGGAAACAACAGAGATAAATGTTCGTATGCAGCACGTTTCTGCACATTGATGTGCACTCTCTTTCCCATTCACACACACCAGTGTCTTCACTGGGAGCAACTACTTCTTCAGCGTCTTGACATGTGGACTGGAGAAGCCGGGATCGAACGGCCAACTCTCCAGTTAGGGGACTACCCGCTCTATCACGTGAGCCACAGCCGCTCCTGGGGACAGCCTGATGGATGATGGGGTACAGTTTGGAGTGTATACAGTAACAAACATCCAACTAAAAGCATTTGACTGTGTTCATGCCCCCCGTGTGGTCCCTCCTTTCAAAAGCAGTTACACACTTCCATAGATACGTCCGTTCTGTTGTCTCAAAACACACACACGCCCCAGCAGTCAGTGTGTGTGACAATAAAATCATGAACACTACAAAACTAAACATCTACATGCTTCATTAGACCACAAAGACAAACTCTATTGACCCCAAAATGGCCATAGTCATCTATAGTGTCACTGTTGATGTCTGAACCAGTTACTGTGCAACACCTCGCTGAAAAAGAAAGGCTCCGCTGGCTTTCATATTGTAATAAGTGCCATGACCCTCTCTCTGTCTCTCTTTCTCTCTCTCTCTCTCACACACACACACACACACACACACACACACCTTCCTCTGCTACAAGCGTTAGCATTTAATTCAATCACAGCTGAACCAGTGACCTCCTACTAGGCCCATAAAGACAAGAGACTCACTGAAAGGGTAGAAACCCAGAGAGGCTTTGATTACAGAAACTGACAGAAAGAAGCTGAAGGGATGCAGAGGAGAAGAGAGGGAAGGTGGAGGGAGAAAGAAGAAGAGGGGATGGGGCAGAGTGAGGGCGAGCGAGCAGCAGATCCTGACCCAGCTTGTTGTGTTGATGTTTTCTCTGGCAGATCATCAGTTTGAGCCGCACTCAGTGAGGGGGTTCATGAGAAACTGACGCTCATCTGGCTCCGAGAGCCTCCATCTGAATGGGGGTAGGGTGAGGAGGGCGAATGATGGACGAGAGGAGGAAAAAAGACTCACGAAACACAGCTAGGTTTCTGGTAAAGTAACCTGATTTCATGTTGTAAACAGGGCTTTTACATTCTGCAGGACAAAGGCTTCAGCACTGGGAACAAACAAACACTCACAGTGATGTGACAGAAGTAACCGAATCCCAGATGTGACTAAATCTGAAACTACTAAAGGCAAATATGTCTGAAAGTCAGTGTCTGCAGCTGGGTGCCAGTTGGTTTGAAAATATGGCGGTGTGGGGTCTGATTGCTGAGCATTTGCCTATAAATGTGGTGTTCAGAGTGATTGTAACATGTAAACTTGTTCTCCTGTCTCCTCCCCTTTAACCAGTTTCTCCAAACAAGACACAAACTAGAAACAAGTGGTTCTACATCTGAGGCTTGAACAGAGAAGGTCAAACAGTAGAACAAGAGGAAAGAAGCAACATGAAAACAGCTGTGTCCTGTGTGCCAGACTCCTGTAGGACACAGTACAATGCAAATAAAGCACGGAGGTCTGGTGAAGTGGGCTGGTAGCTTTGTTCTGACCTTCCCACACACCTGTGCACCTGCTCTCTATCCCCTCATCAACCCCTTTTCTCAGTTCTCTGACACTTCTTCTAATGTGCAACCTGCTAACCCGTCCTTTAGTCCTCACCTCTTTGACCCAGTCATAACACAGTTCAGCACATATTTTATGCATTTTCTAAGGTTCCTGTTTTTGTGGTGGCACTTCTACACCTTATGCTGTAGTAAGTAGAGCAGTTAAAACAGAGAAATGAATGGACAGGCGCTGGAGAACCCAAGCACACAGTGAAACGAGGTCTGCCAGAGTCTCTGTGTTGCTCCTGCTTTTCTACAGAGATGAAACTGATCTGGACTCAGGACACATATGATGGTAGCACAGCCACAGACTCTGAGCTCAGAGCGACACCATCCAGCTCCTCTGTGAGCTGAGGCGGTAAACCTGGAGAGCTGGCATCCCAGCCCTGTGTGGGATGGATGGATCCAAGAAAACCCACACTCACCTGTGTCCAGAGACTTAAGTCAAACTGCAGCTCTTCATACAAACATCACCATCGCTGACTACATCACAAAACACCAAACACCACAACTCCAGCTAGTAAGATTTCAAACTCTATAAGCAGCAACAAGAAGAGAATGGCTCCTTACTAAGTCACCGAGTTCTTATCAAAATATTTAATACTAATATTAATTCACTGAGTTCATAAACCAGCCCTCATGCAAAATCTCCTTCATTATTTCTGGTCATACAACAAATAATAGGAATGTTGTCAAACTGATGTTCCAATTAGCTGAAGATCATCATCCTAAAGGGCACATTCCACTGTTCCAAGTAAAGGGACCTTGAAAAGTCATTAAACTGTCACTGTAATTCTGAATAAAGGACTTAACCCCTGCAGCTCCCAGTGATCCATAAAATGTGTATCAGACTTACCGTGATGGACGAAGAACTGGTTATTCCCAACTGTCACTCCAAAGCCTCCACAGCAAACTGCCTCAGCGGACGAGTCATATCCAACACACACATATCCAATCCTTTGCTTTTTGTGTGTGTGTGTGTGTGTGTGTGTATGTCAGTGGGCTTGGCAGCTGTCTGCTCAGTCCTGATAGCGTTCGGTGTTGCAGCAGCGGCTCAAGAACGTTTCACAACAACGTAAGAGCGACTGAAAACAGCAGTTCATTAGGTTCCTCCTGTTCTCTCTCCTGTTTTCTCTCCTGTTTTCTTCCTCACATCTGCTCTCTGTCCTCTCCTCTCTCCCCCTCGGCTTCTTCTCCACTCCCTTTGTGTTTCCTCCTCTTTCAGCTCTTCCCACTTTGACAGTCGGCTCTTTTTTCCTTTTGTCAACTTCAGTTAATGACCTTAAGTCTTTTCCTTTCTCTTCATCTGCTCTTTCTCTGCTGCTGGTTTTGTTTTTGTCTTGATTTTTTTAGCTCTTAACTTCCCGTCTTCTCTCCTTCTCCTTGTCTGTTTCTCATCTTTCTCACATTCTGAACATTTGTCTCTTCTTTCTTCTACACTTTCAGCACTTGTTGTTCTGTATTTCTGACTCTTTCTGTTTCTGCCGCCCCTTCTTCACCCTCTACCCCTCCTTACTTCCCTCTCCTCTCTTCACTTTCTTTTACAGTCCTATAGATGCTTCGTTATTTCTCTCTGACTTCACTGATCTGTCATTTTCTTTCCATGTGACTGCTCTTCTTAGAGTTCCCCCTCTTTCTTCTGCTAAATTTTTCCCTTTTCTACTTTCCTTTCTCAGCACAGATCCCTTTATTCCTGCTCTCCTTTGGGAATACTCGCTCTCTACCCTCTAACCTCTTTCCCAACAACTCTCCTTCAGTCTCCTCAAAGCTTCCTCTCCTCTTTACTTTCCACTTTCCCTTCCAGTTTCTCACATTGTTACTTTTCCTTTTTATGACGTTCAGAGTTGTAAATGAAAATGTTTCAGAAGCCCTCCTCCTCCTCCTCCTCCTTTCCTGCCTTCTTCTCTTTTTCATCCCCTCCTCCCATCTCTCCACTTGGTGTATATCATGTCTGGCCCCAGCACAGACCACATACCTCAGTAATACTGTTGCTTTATGTCCTGATTGATGGCCATGCATTTGTGAACATAAACAGGCTCGTCTCATACATTTGCACTACGGGTCAAAATTTTGGACACACTTAATTCAGTGGGAAAGCAGGTACAACTTTTGACTGGTCAGCTTCATAAAATGCACATGAGAAGGAAAAAGTTTCTAGAAAGGAAACGAGACAACATGTTTCTGTTGTTAAAGATGAACTTGGTTCTGCTTTATCACTTTAGAATGAGAAATCTGTTTCCCCATCTTTGCTTCCAGACCTATTTTCTCTCTTATCTCCTGTAGCAGCATGTAAATAGTTTGAAACGCCCCTCTCACAGTCTGCCTTCAACCCAGTTTAGCTATAGAGAAGACATTTTTTTAAATTAGATGAACTATTCCTTTAATTGGTCCTTTGCTTGATCTGAAGCGTTTTCTGATCGTGCTGTGTCTAATCTGTCAGTGGTCATTAACAAGATGTAAACTTTAATGGTACCGTTCCTAAGAAGCACTGAAATCTAAAGATTGGTTTGTGTGTGGGGTCCTCCCTGCTGTCATATTCACTTCTTGTTGTCGTGTTGTTCTGATGTGAGTGTTTTATGTCTGGTCACAGCCACGTCAGACAGAAATGCCTGTGAACATATGGAGTTGTTAAATCAGTCCAGAAGCTTTCCCAGGCTGCCTTGTGAAAAACAGAACACGCTGACCGAAACCCCTGAACTTCGAGTTAAGTTCAAAGCTCTCGTGTTTGTGAAAATCCCCAGATCAGCCTGCTGGGGAGAAGCTGTGGTGTGGGGACGCTGACCTGTCCTTAGGGTTCATGTGGGACAGCTCGGCTGTTTGATAATTACCAGGGAATCTCAGAAACTTCACAAACTTCTGTGAAATTAGGTGCAAAGTTCATGTATTAATGGTTTTACTTATAACGTCTGTAGATGTTTTATCCAGCTGCTTCCTGTGCGCCGACACATGCAGCGCGGTGAGGGATCGGAGTAAAATCTGTCACAGGGAGCATTTGCTTTTTGTGTCCAGTCGTGCAATTTAAAACAGATACAGAATCATCAGTGTATGACAGTTGTGATCTTATTTTTGTGTCTTTGGCTAATGTTTCTGGAAGATATGACAAGTTCACTCACTGTCAGGCAAAGTCACCTGAGGTTAAGCTTTCCTGTTGAACATCAGTGTCAAATTCACCTCATCTGTTTCACAGCAGTTGTGTTTGGTTATTGTTTGTCCTCTGAATTTTATTTGTTAGCTTTTGTAATGTTTTTTGGAGAAAAGCTAAGTCTGTGTCTTTGGTTGCTTTACTGTGTTTTAATGGCTATAAGGAAATTAACAGGTAGAAATGTTTAAACCTTATCGTACACTTCGAAAACTGGTCAACAGTTTGCTTTACTCTTTACTTAAGTAAAACTAACAATATCACAGTGTAAAAAACTCTTACAAGGAAAGGTCCTGCATTCATAATGTTACCTAAGTAGAGTTACAAAAGTATTGAAGTACCAAAAGTAAAGTACTTGATTTGTTAAATAGCACATTTCACATTAATATATAATATAATTACCTAATCTGTGAGAGGTAAAGACCACTGCACTAAATAGTGATTGAAATGGTTAGTAATGGTCAAATTAACCCAGGAACATCACTGCTGTTCCTGAGAAATGAACATAACAGGTGAGTTCATTTGAGTTTCCACCAGGGATCAACAAAATCAGTTGATTATCTTGTATTATGTAAAGTTAATCTGATTCTGACAAGTAATGAGTAACAGATGTAGTGCAGTACAATATTTGCCTCTAAAATGTAGTGAAGTCAAAGTACGAAGTAACAGAAAGTAAAAATACTCAAAGTACAAGTATCTCCAAACTGTACTTAAGCAATCTTAGATTAAACAGGATCTAAACACGCCTACAAACACAAGGTTTGAAAGCCATAAATGTTTCTGTCATAGTTTAAAGATCTTTTTATAGCTTTGTTAGTGGCACACGCTTACACAAATGTGCATACCACACACACCCACACGCACCATCGGTCGGCTGCTACTGCAGGAATATACAGATATTTACTTCAGCTGGCACATTCATGGCATTAACGCACACACAGACACACATGGCAGGCCGAGATAAGGAGGCATGGACAAGTGTATCCCGTGTATCTGCGCCTCCACTCCCTCACCACACGTGCACCACAGCAGCTGACTGTGCATTCATCTGTGAGCTTTTACTTCTGTGAGAACCAGTCCAATTTATTCACAGACAGCTTTTGAAAGTAAAGTTGTCGCTTATTTAAAAGGCGGTGTGAGAGATTTGACTTGGCTTTTGTATTAAAGTTTAGGTTTAAAGGTTTAGGTTATAGTTGCTGTTGCTGCTTCTTCATGAAAATCTGTTAATTTAAAGCTCAATGATTAAGTGGAAATAATCCCAGTAGAGCTAACATCATCATCTTCACAAAATCCTGGGACAATCATCATCAGCTATGCATGCATAACTGATGATGCATTATGGTTAGTGACTGAATAACCTGCAATGCAGAGGTGTGGAAACAACAACCTGCAGGAATGAAACAGTCCTTACATGTCCAGGAGCCGTCGTGTCATCATCTCATTCCTCTCTTTTGCCATTGTGATCTGATATATTTCACTGAATTCATTAGTAATAGGCTATGTGTAAAATTAAGTGGAAGGCCTTTGTTAAACTAAAATATCAGTGTTTTTGAAATTCAAAGTTATTTTAAACTCAAACTTTTCTGCCTGAATTTATAAAAGGCTGCTCCCTCCATGCACGCACACGCTGAACCAGAAAAAACAAAACCCTCAAGCCATTCTAACAGAGATGCAGTCACAATATAATTTGCCTTTCACCTTAAACATCTAAAATAATGCATTTGAAGATGAAAACTCTGTAAATAAGCAGGTTACTGCACAGTCCACGCCCCTGCACACGTTTCTGCCACATTACACCAATCATAACATCTCACTTTACGTTTCTAAGTGCGACAGTGGAACATTCGATTGAAATAACAAATTTAACATGTGACTTTTACTCCACATTATAATAGTTTTGATGAACAGACATGTCATAAACACATCCTGATAAAAACTAGATGAAATGATTTATTTATAAGAAATGTATGTAAACTCAACATCCTCTTTATCTAAATGCTGTGTCACTGAACTTTGGGTGGTTTTCACAGGCAGTGCTTCCTCTTTTAACATCGCTGCAGACTCATCTATGATTGGACATTTGAGACGATGTATGATTTTGATAACACGACATCACAGCTTGGTTTCATTGACTCTCATTTGCATGAGGAACACCTACAGGCTTTGTAGCTGGTTGATGTGGACCAACCCACTTTGCTTCTCCACTGTATTTTTTCACTGCGTTGGTCTTTGTTTAGAGGAGGGAGGGGCTGCGCTCCTCTCACACATACAGCTGAGCAGAGGCGGTGGAGGATCAGCAGCAACAGAGACTGTACGATCAGTTTATCAAACAGCTGTTGAACAAGCAGAACACAAACCTGCACCAATGTGATGTCTTCTCTGCTTTTCCCATGGTCCTCTCACTGAAGTCCCCATTTACCTCTAAACCAGAGACTGAATGTCTGTCATGTCTGCTGTTTTTCTTGAATACCTGTCAAACTAATAATGATATCAAATGCCACTTGTAGGGTTTCATGGCCTACAACTATATATGAGGGTCAAACTATCATGGGAATATTAGTTTTATGGCGGAATGGAGGAACTGAGTTGCCCCTTGGCAGAGGTTTGCTCTCTCAGGGCAGTCTAGTTTTCCTTTGTATTCACTTTGACTGTTGACATAAACTGTGCTAAGCTGAGAGAGGCCCTCTACTATTGTAGCACGATGCCCTCTGCTGTTAATATGATGCTACTCCGTGTAGAATGATTTCCCACCTTTGCACCACATGTTTTCCATGTCAGGGACATCTGAAGGAAACATATGGACTCCTTTTAAAGATGTATTCCCTGAGGTGAGAATGTCTGGTGCATCCTGGCTTTCTATACTAACTGTAAACGGACACAAATGCTCCACAGTTCATTTTACAATGCAGAGCAATAACATTTGTAAAAGAATCGTATGAATGTTTCTTCTTACACTGTGCAGGGCTTTCATTTGGCTAGACGTGTGTGTTTGCTCCAGTGAGCCCAGCCAGACCTTAGCAGATCACACTGAAACTTTGCACATGGCTACATCACGCTGTGGGCCAGAGTAAAACCACATTTCACTGTTTCCGCTGTTCTGATGTGTTCAGTTAAAATAGGTGAAATCATTTCTGTCACACAGGAAGCGGCTGTTCATTAATCTCCTTTTCCTGCTCCTGCTGCAAATATGTTACAGTGTCCTCCACAGCAGCACCAGGGCGAGCTGCCTAGCACTCGGCGGATCAGCATCAGTTACTATAGCAACAGCCATGGACCAGACTGTGGAGCCAACATGGCTGCCAAAGGGGAACTGCAGCAGCCAAGCTGAGAGTCTGTGGGGCTTCACACATGAGCGACAAGCACATCTTGGTACAGTCGTACAGAACCTTCATGTCTTTAGAGAAGAATCACTGTCACTGAATCTTTTCTGCACATACAGAAAGGTTTGTCTTCTAGTTCACAACTTGCACCATAACACAGTAAAATTAGAATGATACTGTCCCAACTATCCCTCCACAGGGGTCCTCTGTGGTCAGCTGGGCTGAAACATACACCGTGCACCGACAGTGGCTGTTTACATACACTTTAATGATATGGCAAAAAGCATTATAACTACTGAAATTGTTAACTTGCTAAATGTGAATAATCAGTAAAGAAACCATGGCTGAAGTGAGC